GCTCAGTGACTGGGCATTGGTGTCTCTATGTGCTAAATGAGGGGATAGAACTGGATCACCTCTAAAATCCCTTCCAGCTCCATGTCTCTGATTTCAAAAGCCCATGAAGCTACTGTGTGAATGTGAGGAGTTGGGAAAGTGCCTGAAGACAGAGCTCTGGGAAGAAAAATTGTTTGCGGGAGAGGCAACTGATCCTGGAGTAGAAGAGAGCTCAAGAGTAAGAACCAGAGTTTACTGCAGCATCCGTGTCTGAAAGCCAAAGGAGAGAGGGAAAGCAGAGGACAGAGAAACATGTTGCTTTACTCTGGCAGCCTCGTCTCCTTGCCCTTGGTGACAGCAGGAGGGCACTGCTCCTGCTCCTGGTCTGTGGCAAGCAGATGATGAAAGTGAAGGAAGATGCTTTCTATCGTGCTTCAGCTCACTGCCACCAGGAGAGTCCTTCCCAGAGACTGTTATCTGAGAAATGAGCTGTATAATCTAAAAAAAAGTTCAGCCCACCCATTGAATGTATGTATTTTTTAGTTGGAAAATCTCTATCAGTTATTACCATATTTTTATGTTAAGTTTTTAAACAATTTCAAGGTATGATTTATATACAATAAATGCACTCACTTTAAATGTACAGTTCCATGAGTTTTAACAAATGGATAACTCATGTGACCACCACCACTATCAAGATACTGAACTTTTCCATCACCTATAACTCTTCTCAGCAATCCCCATTCTCCACCCCTGGCCTCGGGCAACTGACCTGCTTTTTATCACTATAAATTAGTTTGGCTTTTTCTAGAGTTTTATATCAACAGAATTATTCAGTATGTACCCTTCTTTATCAGTCTTGTTTTGCTCAGCACAGAGTTGCTGAGATTATCCATGTTGTTGCGTATATCACTTGGATTCCTTTTTTTTTTTTTTTTTTTTTGAGACGGAGTCTCGCTCTGTCGCCCAGGCTGGAGTGCAGTGGCCAGATCTCAGCTCACTGCCAGCCCCACCCCCCGGGTTCACGCCATTCTCCTGCCTCAGCCTCCTGAGTAGCTGGGACTACAGGCGCCCGCCACCTCGCCCAGCTAGTTTTTTGTATTTTTTAGTAGAGACGGGGTTTCACCGTGTTAGCCAGGATAGTCTCGATCTCCTGACCTCGTGATCCACCCGTCTCGGCCTCCCAAAGTGCTGGGATTACAGGCTTGAGCCACCGCGCCCGGCCACTTGGATTCCTTTTATTGCCAAGTGGTATTTCGTTGTATGGATATTTTATAATCTGTGTATCCCTTCATCTGTTGATGGACATTTGGGTTTTTGACTATTATGAATAATGCTGTTATGCATACAGGTCCTTTTTGCAGGCATATGTTTTTATATTTCTTGGCTAAATATCTAGCAGTGGGCCAGGCATGGTGGCTCGCGCCTGTAATCCTAGCACTTTGGGAGGCCAAGGCGGGCAGATCACTTCAGGTCAGGAGTTTGAGACCAGCCTGGTCAACATGGTGAAACCCTGTCTGCATTAAAAATACAAAAATTGACTGGGCGCAGTGGCTCATGCCTGTAATCCCAGCACTTTGGGAGGCCGAGGAGGGCAGATCACGAGATTAGGAGATCGAGACCATCCTGGCTAACACAGTGAAACCCCATCTCTACTAAAAATACAAAAACAAAATTAGCCAGGCATGGTGGCGGGCACCTTTAGTCCCAGCTACTCGGGAGGCTGAGGCACGAGAATGGTGTGAACCCGGGAGGCAGAGCTTGCAGTGAGCCAAGATCACGCCACTGTACTCCAGCCTGGGAAACAGAGCGAGACTCCATCTCAGAAAAAAAAAAAAAAAAAAGATTAGCCAGGCGTGGTGGTGCACACCTGTAGTCCCAACTACTTGGGAGGCTGAGGCAAGAGAATCATTTGAACCCGGGAGGCAGAGGCTGCAGTGAGCTGAGATCTGCCACTGCACTCCAGCCTGGGCAACAGAGTGAGACTCTGTTTCCAAAAAAAAAAAGCAAAAAAAAAAAAACTAGGAATGGAATTGGTGAGTCCTATGATAAGTGTCTGTTTAACTTTATCAGAAACTGTCAAAACACATCACATTCTTCTGAGGAACTTGATTTTTGGGGGATAGAAGTTGCTCTTTTGCTTCTGGACCCCTCTGTTCCCATTGGATTTTGTAGACTAGATACTGTAGACAGTCTGAAAACAGGTGGGTGTGCTAGTGGCTGTTAAGTGTAGATGTTCTGGGTTAAGGACAGGGCCCGTTCTGGGTAAGATGGTACTGGGTTATTGCTTGTAAGAAGAGATTGGGCAGGACAGATAGACGGAATTAAACAAACAGTGTTGTGCTCTTTAGAAGAGAATGCATTTCAAGGCTGTGGGAAAGGCTGTGCTTGCACCAATTGAGGAAACAGCTAATCCCTGAATGATGTGAGGTATTTGCCGGGGAAATTGTTTCCCATGAGGAGAGTGGAGGGCTTCTAACCCAACTCTTTTCCGAACTTCCTGGTCCTCATGGAGAGAGAACCTTAGAGCAGCTCAGTCTGTCAACAACTGAGGATTGTTGTGTGGTGGATACAGAACAGAGAGACGCTGGCACAGGGCCCCTTGCTGCTTCTGACTAGGGCAGAAAATGGAAATGAGATGCCAAACGTAGCCCCCAAGACTGAAATATGTAAGAAAGTTGCTTTGTAATGGAAATAATAACAAATGTAAGTTGTTATTCATCTATGCTCTGAAAACTAGCCAATATAAGTTGCCAGTCTGTTTCTACTTTTTAAAAAGTAAATCTAGCTGTGATAAGAATCAAACTTCTGGTCACAGTTTTGCAACAACTTAGTTCAGCTAAAGATTAATTTTTTCTTCTTAAATGCAAGCATGTACTCTGGTATTCTCTAAATATACTAAAAGCAATTCAGGTTCTGTGGACAAGTTTGGGAAATGCTGTGTTGCAGGCTATATATGCTGGCCGTCCTGCGTGAGCACCCTAAGTGTTCTAATGCAGTGATTTTTGCATCTTATTAACTTTATTGGCTGCTTTATTGCTGCATAACAAACTACTACACATTTAACAGCTTAAACAGCTTAAAATCTCACATATTTACTATCCTACAGTCTCTCTGGGGTCAGGAATCTTGGCACAGTTTAGTTGGGTCCTCTGCTTCAGAGTCTCTTACAAGGCTGCAATTAAGGTGTTGGTCAGGGCTAGGTTCTTATCCACAGGTCCACCTGGGGAGAGATTCACCTCTGTGGTCATGTTGTTGTTGGCAGAATTCAGTTCCTTGAAGTTTGGTCTGGGAGCCTCAGTTGGCTCTTGGCTGCAGACCACCTGCAGTTTCTAGTCTCATGGGCCTTTCCAACATAGCAGCTTGCTTCATCAAAGCATGCAAGCAGAAGACAATAAGAAGAGTCAGCTAGCACAATGGAAGCTACAACCTTATGTAACCAAATCATGGATGGGACATCCCATCACCTTTGCTGCATTTGTTCATTAGAAGCAAGTCATAGGTCCACCCACACTAAAGGGATTACCCAAAGGTGTGAATACCAGGAGGCCATCTTAGACTCTGCCTGCCACAGCTGGGTTGCAGCCAGACCTGCCTACCTCTGAAACCCAATGCACTGCAAATGGTTACCTGGAGATCCGGGTGAGCAACCCAGCTTCTTATAGAAGTAAGAATTAGTGGATAAGTTTGACACAAATTGTTAAGAATGATTCAGAGTCTTTTGCTCTTCTAGACTTACTCTTCTTGCAGGAAGTGAGAACAAATGGACTGTCAGCTGGAATAGAATTTCTTGTATATCAAGACCAGCATCCTACACAGAGCCCTCAGTAAAACTATTTGCATGAACAGATTTTGGGCTCCATCAGGTCGATTGCCCTCCTTTCACAACAAATGTTTATAATATCCTTAATTCTAAGATGAAATCCATAAATAAAATGTCCCTGCCCACATAATTTCAAAATATCAATATGATGTAACTGTAATATACAAAAAAAAGGAAAATAATTATAATAAAACAATGTGTTTCAATATATGCATGCTCTAAGATAAAGTGGTTGAATGCTTGCTCCTGAACGCAGAATCATTGCTAACGAGATAATTCTAAATGCAGACTGTTACTTGACACTGGGTGTGAAATTAAGGACTAAGATTCTACAATTTGCCCTGGTGGTGTGATTTTCCAGGAAGACGAATAACATTTGGAAACATTCTGAACAAAACAAAACAAAAATCATCCCATAATTTGCAAGTCATTACATTTCTGGAAAATTCAGTGTATGTTCAAATTGTGAAAAAAGGAACCTTGTTTTGGAATTAGTTTAGTCTTCAGTAATTATAGATAAGGTTCTTATCTACAGGTATGTCATGAAGGACATGGGAAGGCCTTGAGACAATTCATTATACAGGACTCTACTGCACTGAACAGGACAAATGTGTGGGACCTGGCATTTGTCCCCACACACTCCCCCCAATTCAGGAATGCCTCAATTTTGTAACAACAAAAATGCCCTTGGATTTCACTAGTGGGCAGCACCACTCGACACTGCACACCACTGCAATGGTACCTAACCTCTAGGTGAGAGGAAAGCAATGCAGTTATAGACTTGGTTGGACACAGTTAAGCTCAGATATCAAGGAGTACCATGAGAAAGACAAAAACGAAAATCAGTGGCTTCAAAGTATCTACTGTGGCCCAGCACCGCAGGCACAGTTAGGGTGCTTAAATCAAGCAAAAGATGCAGTGTCAGCTGAGGGTGGAGAGAGAACACCGTGTTAGGGTTTTAGAAGTGGACATCTCAAAGCAGATACTTTGTACACTGAATTTTAAGAATACTGATGAAGCCAGGTACCATGGCTCATGCCTGTAGTCCCAACACTTTGGGGAGGATCACTTGAGCCCAAAAGTTCAAGTCTGCAGTGAGCTGCAATCACACCCCTGCACTCCAGCCTGGGCAACAGGGACCTCATCTCTAAAAAGTTGTTTTAAAAGAATACTGACAGAATGCTTTCTTTTCCAACAGAAACCTGTTTCCCTCAAATCTTGTGGTTGCAGCTTTCCATACGGTAAGGCTTGATACTTTGCTAAAAATATGAAACCTTGTTGGAAGAAATATTTAAATTACTGCTATGGAGTTAGGTCAGGTAGAACAGGGAGAGACGGTGGTGTTAACAAAACTTGGTAAGATTGGCCTAAACTTTAATAAATGGGTACCTAGAGTTAAAAAACAACAACGACAAAATAAATAAAGACTGAGCAAATAAAACTTTCCAAAATGTCCCACTGGTTCCAAAATTTTTTTATATCACCTAAGAAATACCCTCAAATCACATTTTGGGGATGTCTTAAATATTATAGACTTTAAAAAAATACACTTTTATCTTTTTTTCTGATTATAAAGATAATATGTGCTCATTGCAAAAAAAAATTAAAATACAAAGAAGTGTAAGAAAACAAAAATTGGCCGGGTGCGGTGGCTCAAGCCTGTAATCCCAGCACTTTGGGAGGCCGAGATGGGTGGATCACGAGGTCAGGAGATCGAGACCATCCTGGCTAACATGGTGAAACCCCGTCTCTACTAAGAAATACAAAAAAAACTAGCCGGGCGAGGTGGCGGGCGCCTGTAGTCCCAGCTACTTGGGAGGCTGAGGCCGGAGAATGGCGTGAACCCGGGAGGCGGAGCTTGCAGTGAGCTGAGATCCGGCCACTGCACTCCAGCCTGGGCTACAGAGCGAGACTCCGTCTCAAAAAAAAAAGAAAACAAAACAAAACAAAAATTATCCACAGACACTGTCTAGAGCTACCCATTCTTTTGGTATACCTCTTTCAGATGTGTATTTTCTATGACTGTATACACATACATTTTAAAAATAAGCATACCGTCTGGGTGCGGTGGCTCATGCCTGTAATCCCAGCACTTTGGGAGGCCAAGGCGGGCAGATCACTTGAGGTCAGCAGTTCGAGACCAGCCTGGCCAACATGGTGAAACACCATCTCCATGAAAGACACAAAAATCAGCCAGGTATGGTGGCATGCGCCTGTAATCTCAGCCACCAAGGAAGCTGAGACAGGAGAATTGCTTGAACCTGGGAGGTGGAGGTTGCAGTGAGCTGAGATCACACCACTGTACTCCAGCCTGGGCAACAGCTAAACGATGCCATCTTGCCTCACGTCCCTGGCTTTCAAGAGTGGAGGCTCAAACCAGATTAGAAACAGAGTGAGACTCTATCTCTAAATTAATTAACTAATTAATTAATTAAAAGCATACATAGTATATACACACACTACACGTGTCACTTCATAGCCTGCTGTTTTTTTAAGGCAGTATATTGTGAATATTTTCTCATGTCGGTAGCTACCCTTCTGCGTGACGCCATGGCTGTAGAGTATTCCGCTATAAGAGCATAACATAATTCTCCTCTACTAGTCCCCTGCTGATGGATGTTCAGGTTGTTTCTGGTTTTCCCCTATTTTTTGGCAATGCTGCAAGTAACATCCCTGTGACAATTCTTTATACAGAGAAGGAATATAAAGGCCTAGATTATGTGGTCTAATCTTACAAGCAAACACTTTTCTGTTTCGACTTAAACCTCTCATTTTTGTTTTGTTTTGTTTTTTGATCTGCATATAAGCACAGGAGTGACTTGTATATATAATGTGAGGTAGGAAAAAAATATAGGTGTATGGGACTTTTTTTTAGTACCTGTCACAGAGGAGGTGGGTGGGTTTGTTTGAACACCTCTGCCTTTCTGTAACACTGATAAAGCTGAGAGAAACCAGAGCCCAGCAAAAGCAGGCAGAAAGCAGGCCTTTGAGTCTATACTTCCTAATTGCCTCCTCCTGACAGTTCAGGGACCAGGTGCCCTTCAAAGGGGCCGGGAAGGACTGTCCTAACAGATTCCACTTGTTAGTACATACTGCCACAGGGAGACACCTATGTGCACCATGCAGAAGCATGTGAAATCAACCAGGGGACCAAAGCTAGAGAGACACCTCACTTCTGTTAACTGAGTCCCCTTGAAGACTCAGCTAAACGATGCCATCTTGCCTCACGTCCCTGACTTTCAAGAGTGGAGGCTCAAACCAGATTAGAAACAGACAGTAGAAGCAGTCATGCTCAAATACATTCTAGAACAAAGTGGGGTGTAAATAAATGAATGAAAATAAAATGATACAATGAAAAATGAACTTTGACATTATGGAGTTAATGCCAAGGTTATTCAAATAATATGACATATAAGGCTAAGGAAATATCAAACTATCAGCATAAAATTGTGCAGCCTTTCTTCTCCAAACCATTGCCCAAAGAACATAAGCAAATTCTCCCTGTTTCCGTGGGACACTAAGCAACCCAGAGATGTCTTGAAGTATCTGCTGGCTTGGTCCTAATGTAGCTTTTGTACAGTTCTCAGAGGCTCTTGTCAGGCCAGCCAGGTGAGGAATGCCCAGGACACTCAGTGTGATTAGTGACAGAAGTAGCGAGAGCACAGCAGTGCCCTTGGTTCCTCTAGGTCAGTCTTCACCTGTGCACTAACAGTGGATTTTTTTTTTTCCTCTTGATCACAGTATGCAACCGATTATAAAGTCGTGACCCACAACAGCAGCTCTGGAAATGTAACCCATGAAAAGGTAAAGCTTTTTATAAGGTCACTTGTAAAAATATGTCTAAAGCAAATCTTATTTCTTAATTGAAGGAGCATACAGGATGTGTCTTTTTCCCAGCTGGGCCGAAAACTTTGGGGTTTGAATGGGCTATTTGGAGCGAACAGGTTAGGTTTGCTCCTTTGGTTGTTTACCAACACGGCCAAACACCGTGTTGCTCTCAAAGCACTGCAATCCTCAGAGGATCCGTAAAACATTTTGTTTGTTGATTTATTCATTGTTTGTTTGTTTGAAACCGGGTCTTGCTCTGTTGCCCAGGCTGGAGTGCAGTGGTGTGATCATGGCTCACTGCACTGAACTCCTGGCCTCAACTCATTCTTCTGCCTCAGCCTCCCGAGTAGCTGGGACTACAGGCGTGTGCCACCATGCTCAGCTAATTTTTTTTTTTTTTTTTTTTTGAGACGGAGTCTCGCTCTGCCACCCAGGCTGGAGTGCAGTGGCCGGATCTCAGCTCACTGCAAGCTCCGCCTCCCGGGTTCACGCCATTCTCCTGCCTCAGCCTCCCGAGTAGTTGGGACTACAGGCGCCCGCCACCGCGCCCGGCTAGTTTTTTGTATTTTTTAGTAGAGACGGGGTTTCACCGTGTTAGCCAGGATGGTCTCGATCTCCTGACCTCGTGATCCGCCCGTCTCGGCCTCCCAAAGTGCTGGGATTACAGGCTTGAGCCACCGTGCCCGGCCTTTTTTTTTTTTTTTTTAATGTTTTGTAGAGATGGAGTTTCACCATGTTGTCAAGTCTGGCCTTGAACTCTCCTGGCTTCACATAATCCTCCCACCTTTGCCTCCCGAAGTGCTGGGATTGTAAGTGTGAGCCTGTGCCTGGCCCCAGAAAACATTTTATAAAACCTTTTCTACCATCTGGAAATGTAATTAATGAGTGATTTAAACTACCCCTACACCTATTACATTTTTTAAAAATCAACATAATATAAGGGAGAAATAAAAATAATTTCTAATAAAATGATCCATATTTTACCATGTAAATATACAACTATACTAGAAGACATAATGAAGTTTTCAGATGCTTGCATTACTTAGAATAAATAAATTGAGATTTAAAAGCAGTGAGATAGAAGTCAACTCAATATTGTTGGCACATTTTTTGCTATTTTTCCACATATTTTGAAATACATGCTAAATAAATATTTTTGTATATGTATACAGAATTACCCCAAAAGCAACAGCTACAAGTGCAGACCAACATTATGTCTCACACTAGTGACTTGGATATTATTCTAAAATGGCAAATAACACTTGTTGAAGTTCAGAACAAAATAAAGTCTTCCTTCAGTTTACATCCACTTGATATTCTTGGAAAATCCAGTGAATACTAAAACTATGCAGAAAAAATATTTATGGGTAAAATGGAGTTAATTCTAGCTCAGTGTATTTTTTTTTTTTTTTTTTTTTTTTTTTGAGACGGAGTCTCGCTCTGTTGGCTGGAGTGCAGTGGCGCGATCTCAGCTCACTGCAGGCTCCGCCTCCCGGGTTTACGCCATTCTCCTGCCTCAGCCTCCTGAGCAGCTGGGACTACAGGCGCCTGCCACCTAGCCCGGCTAGTTTTTTGTATTTTTTAGTAGAGACGGGGTTTCACCGTGTTAGCCAGGATGGTCTCGATCTCCTGACCTCGTGATCAGCCTCCCAAAGTGGCTCAGTGCATTTTAAACAGCTTTTTCTCCCTATATGACTGTCTGATAGGATGCTCTGAGGCCTGGGGGATGTAGGAAAGTCTGCATTTTGTTGCCTGAACATTTCAGAACAGTTGGCATTCTTAGTACCCTGCCTACTATTTCCCACTAAGACACCACAATCATTATGACAACCAAAGTGCCCACACACATTCCAAAAGTCCCCTAGTGAATGATATCCCCCCGTTCATAAATGTGAATCCAATCAGTGGTTCTTGATTTTAAAAAATGGAGGTCACTTCCCTCTGTCTGGCCAGAGGACGTGGCTGGAAGTCCAGCTGGGCCCGTTCTGACAGGCCCTGGATTCCACAGCTGGGCTCATTGGGATGTGGGTATCAGCTAGGCCTGCTTTCCAGATAAGTGGCTCACTTCTGCATGCCACCTTCTTGGCACAGACACTTTCCAACGTTATTTCATTTGAGCCTTAGGACGACCTGATCGGGTAGGATTTCATATCCCCACTACAAATTACTTGAAATTATGGTCTTCCAAGGTTGATCAAGGCCATTTTGGCCAGTTTTTAAAAAAAAAAAAAAAAACTAATTATTGGCCGGGTGCAGTGGCTTATGCCTATAATCCCAGCACTTTGGGAGGCCAAGAAAGGAGGACTGCTTGAGCCCAGGAGTTCATGACCAGTCTGGGCAACATAGTGAGACCCCATCTCTACAAAAACTAAAAAATAAATAAAAATTAGCCAGGCATGGTTGGCACATGTCCATAGTCTCAGCTACTTGGGAGGCCAAGGTAGGAGGATCACTTGACCCTGGGAGGTCGATGCTGCAGTCAGTCACGATTGTGCCACTGCACTCCAGCCTGGGCAACAGAGCAAAACTATGTCTAAATAAATAAATAGAAAGAAACCAAGAGTGATGAGTAAATGCTAGAACACTAATTGTCTCTGCAATAACTTTAAGTTCTGGCAAATATGGCTGCTGTGACTTCTCCAGTGGAAATGCTGGTTACCTGTGAGCATCCACCTCAGCTGACATACACTTGCCTCCACTGTAAATTTCACCCAGGCATTTAAGGAGTCAGGCTTTAAGAAAGAGGCTGGGTGCACTTTGGGAGGCCAAGGCAGGCAGATCACCTGAAGTCAGGAGTTCCAGACCAGCCTGGCCAACATGGTGAAACCCCATCTCTACTAAGAATATAAAAATTAGCCAGGCATGGTGGTGGGCACCTGTAATCTCAGCTACTTGGGAGGCTGAGACAGGAGAATCATTTGAACCCAGGAGGCAGAGTTTGCAGTGAGCTGAGATCGTGCCACTGCACTCCAGCCTGGGCGACAGAGCAAGACTCCGTCTCAAAAAAATAAATAAAAGAAAAAAAGAACGAAAGAAGGCGGAGCAGTGTGTCCTTGCTGGTTCCAGCCTTTCCTAAACCCTGTGGCAAGAACACTGTATAAAGGCATAGCAGGTGTGGGCCTTGTCCCCAAGGATGGGATGTTGGTGACAGAATGAAAAGTCAAGGACCTAGCCAGGCATGGTGACTCACACTTGTAATGTCAATGACTCAGAAGGCTGAGATGGGAGGATTGCATGAAGCCAGAAATTTGAGACCAGCTTGGGCAACATAGTGGGACCCCGTATCTAAAAAAATATATTTTCTATACTAGCCAGGTATGGTGGTGTGTGCCTGTAGTACCAGCTACTTGGGAGGCTGAAGTAGGAGGATCCCTTGAGCCAAGGAGTTTAAGATTACTGTACTCTAGACAGCAACAGAGGGAGACTTTGTCTCTAAAAAGAACTAAATCAATCAAGGACCCAGAGGCTCAAGGACACTTGGAAGGGTGCCTCTGACCCGTGGCTCTATCTTCCCTGCCCACTTTGATCCCATGTAATAACTTGCCACAGACACACTCCTCTTAGGCTTTAGTTGAATCATTAATTCATTAAACAGTGATTTACTGGCAACAGCCAGGTGCCCTTCCCAGGTGCTGGACTCCGGTAGTGCTCAATACAATCAAAACCCTGCTCTTACAAAGCTCATGTTCTAGTGGAGGGAATCATGTAATAAATAAGTATATGTCAGCCAGTGATAGGCACCAAGAAGAACATTAAAGCAGGGCAAATAGACAGGAAGTGTGTGTGTGTGTGTGTGTGTGTGTGTGTGTGTGTGGTGATGGGTACTATTTTAGCAGAGTGGTCAGGGAGGTCTTCTGATCGGGTGAGGGAGGAGCTATGGGGTAGATGTGGGGGAAGAGTGATGTAGGCAGCAGGAACAGAATCTGCAAAGGTGCACCAGCGAGACTGCCCGGGATGCAACTCTGGTTGTTTGTAGTCCCCTTGCCCCACCCAATGCTAAGTTTGCCCAGGTGTGTTACAGCCAGCATACCTTGCTCCAAACCCTCCTCTACAGAAAGGGAGTCATTTCATTGGAAAAATTATTGTAATTGTCCTCAAATCTGAGAGTTGGTTCGAAATCTGGAACTGCCTGACCTCAAATGCCACAACTTAGAATTGCAGACCTGCTAAAACCAGCTCTCTTTTTTAATTGTTAAAACAATTTTCTTACTGATGTAATAAATTACATAATAAATGTGCATAGTTTGGGGGTACATGTGATAATGTAATACATTCATATAATTTGTAAAGGTCAAATCAGCATACTTGTGAGGTCCATCACCTTAAACATTTGTCCTTTCTTTGTGATAGAAATATTATAATTATTCTAGCTATTTTGAAATGTACAGTAAATTATTGTAAAATATAGTCACCCTACTGAACTATCAAACACTAGGTCTATTTCTTCTATCGACCTGTACATTTGTATCCATTAATCAACTACTCTTTGTCCCCTTTCCCCCCTACCCTTCCTGGCCTCTAGTAACCACCAATCTACTCTTTGTCTTCATGAGATCCACATTTTTAGCTCCCACATATGAGAACATGTGATATTAAAACCAACTTTCAAATAATAATTGAATTCTCTGGTTTCATTGAATCTTGACCAATTCCAATTAGGACTTGGGACATTATCAAAAAGCGTGAGTTGACAGCCCCAAGGTCAACACCAGGTGTTAGCCATCCAGCTCATAGAATCCTAGTAGGTCAGTAACAGAGCCAGCACTAAATTCCCCAAATCGTCTCTCTCCCCCAGCTTTCAGCTGTACCCACTGCACCCAGCTTCAATAAATCAAGTCCCAGGAGACAGTAGTGATATTCAGAAGTCTTGGCCGGGTGCAGTGGCTCACACCTGTAATAATAACACTTTGGGAGACTGAGTTGGGAGAATCACTTGAGCCCAGAAGTTCGAGACTGGTTTGGGCAATACAGGGAGATCCCATCTCTACAAAATCAATAAATAAACCTAGCCTGGCATGGTGGCGCATGCCATGGTCCCAGCTACTCAGGAGGCTGAGGGAAGAGGATTGCTTAGACCCTGGAGATCAAGGCTGCAGTGTTTGCGCCACTGCACTTCAGCCTGGATGACCCTGTCTCCAAAAAAATAAATAAAAACAGTCGTCTTATTGTCTGTGGAATTAAAATAACATTTTAAGAGGAAGACACTCCAGATAGTGAGCCTAGAATGATCTCCAAGATATTCCATTAATATAGTAATAGTTGTTGGTTTTCATTTGCCAGACACAGCCTAAGCACTTTACATACATTAACGTATTTATTCTTCATAGCAGTTTTACATATTAGCTACTGTTACTATCTCCGTTTTATAAATGAGGAACTGAGTCACGAAGAGGTTAAGTAATTTACCTAGGTTAAGTAACTTACCTAGACTCCCACAACTAGGAAGTAGTGAAAGTCAGGCTCCAAAGCCAGTGTTCCCTAATTACTATTACTGCTGCTCCTCTATAAGTGATATCTATCAACATAAACAAAAGCACCCTATACGGTGAACATTGTCCTCACAATGAAAAGTTGGAAGAAAGGCTGGGCGTGGTGACTCACACCTGTAAACCCAGCACTTTGGAAGGCTGAGGCAGGCGGATCACCTGAGGTCGAGAGTTCGAGACCAGCCTGACCAACATGGAGAAACCCCTTCTCTACTAAAAATACAAAATTAGCTGGGCGTGGTGGCACATGCCTGTAATCCCAGCTACTGGGGAGGCTGAGGCAGGAGAATCGCTTGAACCCAGGAGGCGGAGGTTGTGGTGAGTTGAGATCGCCCCATTGCACTCCAGCCTGGGAAACAAGACCAAAACTCTGTCAAAAAAGAAAGAAAGAAAAGTTGGAAGAAAATGAAAAGCTACCCCATCACAATTTTTATGATATATATGAATCCATGGCTTTTGGTACATTTCATGTGAATCACACCAGCCACCTAGGTATCTCCAGTTATGGAAATTAGAAAAGTATTTAGAAAGAAATTTGTGATGATTTTGAGTACCCATCATTTGCCAGACACTTGGGCTAGGGCCCAGCCTTTGCGCTCAAGCTATTAAGAGCTAGGGAACACCAACGATTATTTCATAACGTGTGTTGGTGGGATAAAATGTTTGTCTAATATATGCTTGCAGTAAGGAGATTCAGCATTGCCTGAAAAAATTAAGAATACAGTATGTCTATGCATTTTAAGTCAGTGATTTAGGAAAGAGTATCCTGAAAAAGTTCATGTTGATCATGAAAACCTTCTGTGAAGTTTATCGGTTATGAGGTCACTGTAAGAGCCTCACAACAAAACTCTGGACATTTAGGAGTCAAAGTTACAGTCACTGATTTGTTATCTGAAGGAATTTTTTTTTTGCGGGGGCGCCAGTGTCTCGCTCTGTCGCCCAGGCTGGAGTACAATGGCATGATCTCAGCTCACTGCAACCTCTGCCTCCTGGGTTCAAGTGATTCTCCTGCCTCAGCCTCCCAAGTAGCTGGGATTACAGGCACCTGCCACCATGCCCAGCTAATTTTTGTGTTTTTAGCAGAGACAGGGTTTCACCATGTTGGCCAGGCTGGTCTCAAACTCCTGACTTCAGGTGATCCACTGGCCTTGGCCTCCCAAAGTGCTGGGATTACAGGTGTGAGCCGCCGTGCCCAGCCTGAAGGAACTTTTGACTAACCAGCTCTTCTTTTAAAAGCAGCCCTGTGAGGTGGCTGTCCAACCCCTACTTGAATATATCCCCATGACAGGGAGCCCACTACCTTCCACTTTAACCTATGCCATTTTTGAGCAGCTTTCAGAGTTAACAGCTAGATGAAATTTTTGCTTCTTGGCTTTCTGTGTCCTCAGACTACATCTCCCCTTAAGTTTCCTACCCCTTTATTTGCAGAGTTGCTAACGGTTAAATAAAATATGAGCCTTTTCTCATTCTGGGCACAGTATTTCAGTCTGGTGGGGACACCAAGCAAATACATCTTTAATTCTCACTCATCTGTTGTAAACTTGTTCTATCCTCTTTGATCCTACAGATCCCCATAGGCACTGAGATCGAAGGGATGAACATTTTAGGATTGGTCCTGTTTGCTCTGGTGTTAGGAGTGGCCTTAAAGAAACTAGGCTCCGAAGGAGAAGACCTCATCCGTTTCTTCAATTCCCTCAATGAGGCGACGATGGTGCTGGTATCCTGGATTATGTGGTGAGTGCTGCCCTGCCGTCTACTGTCTCTCTCCTTCCTCCTGCCATCCAGAGAAGAGTCCACCTTGCTGTTCTAGGTGCCTATGTGGGGCCACCTGGCACAATGCTGTGTATGTGGTTGATGCACCACAGGCCAGGTTTGGTACAGGGGATGATAGAAGTGGAGACAGTTTCTCCTCTTGTCCAGGACCTCAGAGAGCCAGGCATGCACCACAGTTACCAGTCATTTCCTCAGTGTCCACACTGACCCCTTGGTGTTTCCATCACCGGGATCCGTTTATGGGTTCCTACCACCAGCCAGTTCATATGGGTTGCCCTTGTCATCTTGTGGGGCAGTGAATTCCATTAGTTTGCTATCTGTTGCGTGAAATAAGGTTCACTTATCTGAAAATGATAGACTTCAAGCTTCAAAGGGACCCTTTACTATGGTAGTTCACAGCATGGAGGACGAGGACAAGTCCATCTTCACCCCATGCATATATAAGTTGGAATGCTCTTCTTTTATGCAGGCTTTTTTTTGAAACAGAGTTTTGCTCTTGTTGCCCAGGCTGGAGTGCAGTGGCACGATCTCGGCTCCCTGCAACCTCCTCCTTCTGGGTTCAGGCGATTCTCCTGCCTCAGCCTCCCGAAAAGCTGGGATTACAGGCATCTGCCACCACACCCAGCTAATTTTTTTTATTTTTAGTAGAGACGGGGTTTCACCACGTTGGCCAAGCTGGTCTCAAACTCCTGACCTTAGGTGATCCACCCGCCTTAGCCTCCCAAAGTGCTGGGATTACAGGTGTGAGCCACTGTGCCTGGCCCTTTTATGTAGGCTTTTAATTTGTAAGTGTTTCTTTGTGTGATATCAATGAAAGCATGATTGTTAAGTAACAATTCTTAGATTGATTCTTGGCTAAAAGGTAAAAATTTGACCAGCTCCCTCAAAGCAACTTCTCAGAAATCACACCAATTCCAGTATCAATCTCTCATAAGCTTTATCCTGCTGTTTTACCCAAACTAGACCTCTGTGGCTTCTACTTAATTTTTTTTTTTTTTTTTTGAGACAGAGCCTCTCTCTGTTGCCTAGGCTGGAGTGCAGTGATGTGATCTCGGTTCACTGCAACCTCTGCCTCCTGGGTTCAAGTGATTCTCCTGCCTCAGCCTCCCAAGTAGCTGGGATTACAGGCACCCGCCACCAAGCCCGGCTAATTTTTGTATTTTTGGTAGAGACAGGTTTCACCATGTTGGCCAGGCTGGTCTCTAACTCCTGACCTCAGGCAATCTGCCTGCCTTGGCCTCCCAAAGTGCTGGGATTACAGGCGTGAGCCACTGCACCCAGCTGCTTCTACTTAATTGTTAAGAACTAGTTTCTCCTTCCATGCACAAAGCATTTTCCTTATTTTCAACCCTTAAAGATCCCAGAACTTCTCTCTGTCAGATAGTGCTGGGTGACAGCTGGACTGATTTTAGGAGAAGTTTGAAATGGAATGGGAGGCTACGTTTAGACCCCCTACCAGTGATGTTTCTCTTGTTCAATCTGAAAATTCCAGAGCCTGACTCTATCATTGCCAATGCCATTTTATGTGATTGTTGTTCTAGGGAGAGAACTGACATTTTCAGAAAAGAAAATGTGTTTAGATGTCAAGTTCTTTTCTTGGCTTTTTTTAAGTCTAAAATATTAATATTTTCCAAAGTTTAGACTAAAAAAAAGAAATTGGGGCAGGCGCAGTGGCTCATGCCTGTAATCCCAGCACTTTGGGAGGCCAAGGCCGGAGTATTGCTTGATCTCAGGAGTTCAAAACCAGCCTGGGCAACAAAGTGAGGCCCTATCTCTACAAAATATAAACAACTAAATTAAATTTAAAAGTAAAAATAGAAACTGTATTAGTCTGTTCTCACACTGCTATAAAGAAATACCTGAAACTGGGTAATTTATAAAGAAGAGAGATTTAATTGGCTCACAGTTCCACAGGCTATACAGAAAGTATGGCTGGGGAGGCCTCAGGAAACTTACAAGCATGGCAGAAGGTGAAGGGGAAGCAGGCAGGTCTTCACATGGCCAGAGTAGGAGGAAGAAAGACAGGGGGAAGTCGAGGGATTACAATTCGATATCAGATTTGGGTGAGGACACAAATCCAAACCATATCACTGATACTCCTATGTTAGGACATTTGCTTTTTGTTTTGTTTTTGTTTTGTTTTGTTTGTTTTTGAGATGGAGTTTCACTCTTGTTGCCCAGGCTGCAGTGCAATGGCACAATCTCAGCTCACCACAACCTCTGCCTCCCAGGTTCAAGCGATTCTCCTGCCTCAGCCTCCCAAGTAACTGGGATTATAGGCATGTGCCACCACGCCTGGCTAATGTTGTATTTTTAGTAGACACAGGGTTTCTCCATGTTGGTCAGGCTGGTCTCAAACTCCCAACCTCAGGTGATCTGCCCACCTCAGCCTCCCAAAGTGCTAGGATTACAGGCGTGAGCCACCGCACCCGCCTGGACATTTGCTTTTATTCTGGAAACCAATTTAGTCTTTCCTTCAATTTGATGTACCAGTCACATAAGCAGGTATTCAGTAAGGCAGATCCTGCTGAATGTCTAACTGCAGCAAGAGAGCAAGAGACCTGTTGCTCAGAAATGTATATTACACAGAATTGAAGTTTAAAATGCCTTAACTAGTTAAGGGATCTCAACCAAGTGTGGGAGACATTGTCAGTATTACCACTTTCTTCATGAAGTCTTTCCTTTACTAATTACCCACTCCAAAACCCTAGTACCTGTCTACCCTACACTATTCACAGAAATAACTTTCAGATGTATTAAATCCAGAGTCAGCCAACTTTGCAAGCCACATGTTCTCTATTGCAACTACCCAACTCTGCCACTGTAGGAGAGAAGTACCTATTCACAATTCGTAAATGAAAGAGCATGACTATGTTCCAATAAAACTTTATTTACAAAAACTCACACTGCTAACTCCTGGATTAAACTATTCAGGGAGGAAGGAAGAAAAGAACAAAAGAAAGAGAGGAGTCTTCTGAAAATATTAGAAGAAAATATAGAGGCAGGAAAAGTCTTCCTAAACAAGATATAAAAAGCAAAAGCCATAAAAAGCTGCTAAACTTAACCACATCAAAATATAAAAAGTCTGCATGCAAAAGATAATTCGAACAAAGTTAAAAGTCAAGACATTCATTTCTAAAAACTGATATATATATTTGCATACTGTATATATAGAAAAAAAGAGTTCTGATTACTGAAAAAGAAAAATCACTGAACAAACTATCAGAAAATGGACAAAGTATATGAAATATCAGAAAATGGACAAAGTATGTGAAACCTGATGACCAGTAAACGTTTTAAGGGATGCTCAACCTCATTAGAAACAGGGAAATGAAAATTTGGTTTTATCGGGCATTGATAACAGTGAGGGTGAGGTTTCTCAACCATGACACTATTGACATTTTGGGCTGATCAGTCTTTGTGGGAGGCTGTCTCGTGACTGTAGGATGTTTAGCACTATCCTGGCCCCCACCTGCTTGATGCCACTAGCACCATGCCCCGAAAGTTGTAACAACCAAACTGTCTTCCAAACAAAATCATCCCTGCATAAGAACCACTGTTGCAGAGGAAAGATTATTCTCCTGGACTGCTGGTGGGAATGTGATATGGAATAACCACTTTGGAGAACAATAGGGCAGTATCTACTGAAATTTAAAATGTACACATCCCATAACTCAGCAGTTCACTTCTTAGCATCTCTACCTAGAGAACAAAGGCATGTGGGCACCACGAAGCATGTTTGCAGTGTTGTTTGTAATGACAAACCTGGGAACAACTTAAACGTCCACCAACAGGATGATGATAAAGTAACCTATGGTATTTCCATTCTGAAGACAATATTTAAAGACAATGAGGTAAAGGTGGAAACAACCCAAGTGTCCATTAGTGGATGAATGGACAAACAAAGTAAGATACAGACATACAATAGAATATTATTCAGCCTTAGAAAGGAGTACAATTCTAACTCATGCTCCAATGTGGATGAAGTCCGAAGACATCATACTAAGTGGAATAACCCAGACACAAAAGGACAAATACTGTATGATTCTACCTTTGTGTACCTAGAATAGTCAAATTCAGAGAGATAGGAAGTAGAATGGTGATTCTCAGGAGCTGAGAGGAGGGGAAAATAGGCCATTATGTTTAATGATTTCAAAGTTTGGGATGATGGAAAAGTTCTGGATTTGGATAGTGATGATAGTTGCACAAGAATGTGAATGAGCTTCATGCCACTGAACTCTACACTTAAAAATGATTAAGATGGTAAATTTTATGTTATGTATATTTTACCAGAATAAAAAATGAATGGGGGTAGATTTCCATGTATTGATATGAAGAGATTTCAAAGATATAATATAGGGTGAAAAAGAAATAAACACACAGATTTAAATACATACCTATGTATCTAATTGCATAGGAGGTAGGAGTGGTTATTTGAGGAGGGTCCTGATTGAGGATGGTACTTAAAGAGGATTTTGGTGTCATCTATGTTTTAATTTTTTGAAAGGAGAATGTATTCATGTATTACTATCGGGTTTTTAATTAATAATTACTGCTTAGAATATCTCTAGAAAGAAAACTCAAGAAACCAGTGACATTGTCTCCAGGGAGGGGAAATCTGGGTGCTTGGGAGACAGATGAGACGGAGATTTCACTCTATTCACTCTTTTGTATCCCTTGAAATTTGAACTATGTGAAATTATTACCTACACAATTAAAATTTACAAATAAAGTCAGCAGTTAGAAAGTTCTTCCTGAATTTATATTAATTCAAAACAACTGACTTTTGTTCTTTGTAGCTCCCACAGTCCATTCCTTCCCATCCTGCCTTTAAAAAACTCTCACGCTCCAGGCGTGTTCCCAGAGTGTCATTGTTAATGACTTTTTCCCACGGAATCATGTTGTCTAAGCCACAAAGACTTTAAAACTTCACAGAAGTCCTAGCTTTGGCTCAATTTTGTATCACAGCCACTCTGTGAAATAGGTGTTAGTCTTTTGTGTTTCTAAGTTCTCAGAACAAGCCTGAGCAAAGCCAAAAGTCAGGCTCACAATCCTGGAGGCTTTGATCTCGATTTCCTTGCCTTTCCTCCTGGGAATCCCTGTGACTGGTAGCATCCTACTGCATCCAAGGGGAAAGACGTCTGGGTTCTGGTCCTGACTCCGTTACCCTTGGTAAGTGGTCATCCTCATTTTACCCAGTCTCACGGCCTGTAAAATGGGGATGGTATAACCCTGACCATTTCGGTTCCTCGGGGTTATCCCAGGGAGAGATGAAGATGGCCTGGTTGAAAGTCCCTGTCTTCTGCATCAGGAAGGGCCTGCATCTCTCACCCCGGCCTTATCCCCTACTGATGAGTACCCTGTGCTTGTGCCCTAGGTACGTACCTGTGGGCATCATGTTCCTTGTTGGAAGCAAGATTGTGGAAATGAAAGACATCATCGTGCTGGTGACCAGCCTGGGGAAATACATCTTCGCATCTATATTGGGCCATGTTATTCACGGAGGAATTGTTCTGCCACTTATTTATTTTGTTTTCACACGAAAAAACCCATTCAGATTCCTCCTGGGCCTCCTCGCCCCATTTGCGACAGCATTTGCTACCTGCTCCAGGTGAGTGGGTTTTGGGTCTCTTCACTGCTCTGAGCCATATCAACATGGAAGCAGGTGAGCCCAGTGGTAGATGCACAACCAGTGTCTTGATATACTTCAATTCCTGGAAAACTCTAAATCGGTCTTCTGTTATTTATTTATTTATTTTCTTTTTTAAGAGACAATATCTTCCCATGATTGCCCAGGCTGGTCTCAAACGCCTGGGCTCAAGTGATCCTCTCACCTCGGCCTCCCGAGTAGCTGGGATTACAGGCATGCACAGTCACACTGAGCCTCACGTGATTTCTTAAAATGACCAGCCCCACAGCTTTTCTGTATTCCCCTGGGGTGGGTTTTTGTTTCATTTACTATTCTACTGAAGTGACCTCATTCTCTTCTCCCTCTTATGCCTTAGAGGTCAGCAGATCATTAGTTAGCCCAGCTGCCGGTCCCTCACCCTAATTAGGAAGACCTTTGCCTCAGTAAAAGAAGGCAGCCCACCTAACTCAAAATGCATTGCAGGGAAGTTTCTAGAATGGTTCCTGCCCAATTCTCCCTTTCTGGATGTATGAATTAGAAAACGAGTCTTGAGGCACTGTGGTGAGGGATGTATGCTCAGCCCTCTAGGAGACCACAATAGTGTGGGATTATCTAATTTAGCACAAGAGATGCATCCTGTCATTCACTGGAAAACCTTCAAAAAAAAACACACTGGGTTTTCCACATATGTAAAAATTTTCAAAGGATGGCAGCACGTCGTTTCATACACACATTTAGTTTTGCCTCTACTGCTCATTTCCTCCCAATCTGGATGGCTATTTATATAACAAGGAAGTGGGAGTAAAAAAAAAAAAAAAAAAAAAAAAATTAGGGAAGGAAGTTCCTCTGGCCTAGACAAAAAACCTCTTTCTTAGCTGCACCAACTAACCTCTGCAGAGCCTGCAGAGCCAGCTAGAGGGAGCAGGTGCTGTTCTTATGGTTATCTACTTAGTTATTCTTTCCAAACTCGCCGAGCCATTTCTGGTTTTTGGCCTAAAAGAAAAAAAAAATGATAGTTTACCATTTACTTTTGGGAGGGGAGCACTCAAGAGAGGAGGTGCACATGTAAATAGTTGTTTGTTCTCTTGGGAACATTTTACACCAGGAAGCAATATGCACGTAAGAAACTTGGAACACGTGAATCCAAGTAAATAATAGAACAGGTAAATGAAGGCAGTCATATTTTAAGTATTTCGGGAGTTGCCAAAGCCTCGTGTTGTGACAGAAGTTTTAAAGTGATTCTGTTTTTTCCCTTATTTCATGAGAAGAAAGCCAGAAACGAAGATGGTGCTAATTGTTCTGTTCTGGGGCCTGAGACAAGACACATGTTAGCCTGCCTGGGACTGTTGTTATGTCTGGTGGTTTGTTTTTCCCATTTCTAGCTCAGCGACCCTTCCCTCGATGATGAAGTGCATTGAAGAGAACAATGGTGTGGACAAGAGGATCAGCCGGTTTATTCTCCCCATCGGGGCCACCGTCAACATGGACGGAGCAGCCATCTTCCAGTGTGTGGCCGCGGTGTTCATTGCGCAACTCAACAACGTAGAGCTCAACGCAGGACAGATTTTCACCATTCTGTAAGTTCCTCATTCTTTCCCTGGTCCAAAACTGAAGGTTTTTCTTGTGATTTCCTTTGAAAAACCAATCTCACCACGACTTGGTGTCTCGCTAGTAAAATGAGGACAGTGGGGATTCGTTACTTGAAGAGCGTATGTTGACTCTTAAGGGCATAGCCAGCAGCGCCTATGGTGGGATGGTTTTTAGTTTCCAGTCACATTGCAGCTGCATGGTCTGCATTTCTCTGTGTCCACTCCATGCTCTATGTTAATGGCTGGCCCTGCTCTGCTGTCCCTTAGAGTGACCGCCACAGCGTCCAGTGTTGGAGCAGCAGGTGTGCCAGCTGGAGGGGTCCTCACCATTGCCATTATCCTGGAGGCCATTGGGCTGCCTACTCATGACCTGTCTCTGATCCTGGCTGTGGACTGGATTGTGTAAGTAACAAGTCCCAAGAACACCAAAACGAGTCTGCACTGAGTTCTCTGGGAGCTTGACACTGCTGGGCCTGGGGCATGCAGAGAAACTTCAGATACACTCCAGCCTTCTGAAGGAGCCTGCAGTGGAGCTGGCACAGCAAGATTTAGAGCTAGGAAAAATTAAACAATATGAGAGTCACATGCCCGTGAACATCCAGGAATGACCATGAGATGTCATTACCAAGAACTTGCTTATAGCATCCAGTAAAGTAGGGGTCCACAGCTGAGGCCCTCAGTACAGGCCCAGGGGACACGAGGGTCTACGGAGTTGTTGACTGCATTGGAGTAATAAGTCGATGGAGCAGTGATCCTTTGGGAATGATTGTCCCTGGCCAGGAAAATTCCAAGGAGCTATTTCTGTGAGGGGAGAGAGGATGAACCATGCCGATGTGAGTGACCTGAGCTCGGGCTCGGGCTCAGCAGAGGAGGAGGCAGGGACGAAGGTGTGATCCAGACCACATCTCTGGGGCCGCTGTGAAGACACAAAACAGTTTCTGTGCATGGATTCCTTGAGTCACGTGATACCTTTTGCAGGCATGAACAGTATCTGTTTTATAGGGAAGGTTGGCTGAGGTACTAAAGTTGGGACAGAAGAGCCTGTGGGTAAGAAAAAGAGCCCTGGAGCCCAGGTGCCTGGATTGAAATCCCAGCTTTGCTATCTATAGTTGTGTAATGTCCACTGTGTATGCTTTGGTCTGCTCATCTGTAAAATGGGAATGATCATAGCAGCCACACCAGGGTTGTGGGGAAGATTGAGCGAGTTAGCACAGGAACAGCACACAGAATAATGAGCATGTAGTAAAACATTCAATTCATGTCAGCAAGGAGAGACACTCCAGAGGTTCGTCACAGGCAGGGCCTGGCACTGGGCTCGTGGACTGGCCTGCTGTAGGGGGGAATGGTAGTTTTTCCAACTTGAAGGAGCTTCTCAGGGCAATGAGGGTGAAATCTGCAAAAGAGACCTGCATTGCCCAGACACCTCATCAGAGGGAACTTTGTGCCTGAGCTGGCCAGCTGGACAGGACCAGAGCTGACAGAAGCCCCCTCTCCTTCCTCACCCAGCCACCTCCTGTGCATGGAGAAGAGGCATCCAAGAGGTGCTTGGCCAGGAACAGGGAAATAGGGCACCAGGCCAGCTGCCCAGCAGAGACCTGAAGTCACACAGCCCGCCAGCCACCCCATCCCCTCTGATTCTGCAGACAGCAGGACCACACTCTGCGGGGAGTCAGCTCCCCAGTGCCCTCAGGGAAGATCACATTTTCCCCTCTCTTCAAAATGTTCACAATACTTCCTCTGAGCTCCAGGGACAGGGGAATGGTATTGGTTAATCTATAGCACAACAAGCTAGCTTCTGAAAAGGACAGTGATATTTTCTCTGAGGTAGTATTTGTATTTGCCGACGGGAGCGGAACACATATGAAGATTAACATCCACAGTAAAGCAGCGTTGACATGAGAAAAAGAAGGGAAGCTCCCACAGTGTATTATTCAGTGGAAGAAAAGCTAGACACAAAACTGTATCTACACTATTATCGCAATATGTTTGTTTATTTGTTTACTTATTAGAGACACGGTCTTACTGTGTAGTCCAGGCTGAGTGCGATGGTGTCATCATAGCTCACTGAAGCTTTGAACTCCTGGACTCAAGAAATCCCCCCACCTCAGCCTCCTGAGTAGCTAGGATTACAGGCACACACTACCATGCCCAGCTAATTTGTTTATTTTTTGTAGAGACAGGATCTCACTACGTTGCCCAGGCTGGTCTCAAACTCCTGGCCTTAAACAGTCCTCCCACCTCAGCCTCCCAAATTGCTGGGATTACAGGCATGAGCCACTGTATCTGGCTTATGTGTGATTTTTAATGATGGTATCTAATACATATAAAATACGTGTATAGAAAGGTGACCGGAAGGAAATAGATTAAAATGTGCACACAGATTCACTCAGTTGTGGACTAGGGGTGAGTGGCTTGTTTGCTTCTTTATGCTCTTTTTTATTCTTTCTATAAAAATAAAAAGTGTTTAAAGAAAATCAGTTTAGAACAAGGTAAAGCCTATGCCTTAGAAGCATGCTCTCCAGGAAGCAACAGGGCCGCTCACAATCATGACTTTCCCTCGGCATCCAGGCTGCCTGTGACAGGACCCGATCCCCCAGCAGTAGATGTAATAGCTGCCTCTTCTTTTCCCGCCAGGGACCGGACCACCACGGTGGTGAATGTGGAAGGGGATGCCCTGGGTGCAGGCATTCTCCACCACCTGAATCAGAAGGCCACGAAGAAGGGCGAGCAGGAACTGACTGAGGTGAAAGTGGAAGCCATCCCCAACTGCAAGTCTGAGGAGGAGACGTCGCCCCTGGTGACACACCAGAACCCCGCTGGCCCCGTGGCCAATGCCCCAGAACTGGAATCCAAGGAGTCGGTTCTGTGATGGGGCTGGGCTTTGGGCTTGCCTGCCAGCAGTGATGTCCCACCCTGTTCACCCAGCTACCAGTCATGGACACAGGGCACTGCCCTTGCCAACTTTTACTCTCCCAAGCAATGCTTTGGCCCAGTTGCTGGCCTGAGGCTTACCTCTCGGCACTGGCATTGGGCTCCCCAGCTGGAACTGGTTACCAAGGACAAGGACACTCTGACATTCGGCTTGATCCACGTCCAGGTGCAACTGTGTGTACACCAGGGATCTGTTTGGAAACAACCCCTTGAGCTGCCAGGCTCAAGAAATCATGGACTCACAGGGTCCTGTGGTTATGCCTGGGAAAAATGTAGATGTATTTCACTGTCCCCGGTCAGCTCTGCATCAGATGTTTTCTGAGCAAACCAAGGGAGTTTATGGTCATCTGTTGCATTGCCTCGAGTTGTAGTCATTGAAAAAATGCTCAAATTCTTAGCCATGGCTGGACTTTGCTGAGCTGGGACTCAGGTGTTTAAAGAGTCTGTGCTATAGCGAGGTGTGGGTAGCTTCTGATCCCTGGGTTCTGGGAGACTGCAGGTGCTCCACAATGTCAAGTTAGAAATACTCCAGGTGGGTGTTAGCACTGTGGGCGTCTCTGGTCCACAGCCTTAGGTAAACAACTTAGATTCTGAGGTCAAAGGAAAAAGGAGAGGGGGCGAAGAGGGGCACAGCTTTCTCTAATCTAATCAGGACAGGACAGGTTTCACACACAATTGTCCCAGTTCTCATCCCAGCCCTGGGGCACTTTTCTGCTTCCTTCTGGAGGCCTGGGCCTCTGACAACACTGTAGCTTTTTCTCCATTCACTCTGATTTGGCAACAGGCCAGAGAGGGGCCTCCTTCACTGGGGAGGTGTGATGTAGTCATCACATTCAGGATGCTTGTTGATTTCTCATCTATTATTTGAATTCAACTGGACACTCTGTAAAATGCTGCGCTGCAGCAAATACAAAACGACCACCACCCCAGAGAAAACCATGTACTAATTGGAGTGGGGTACCCCCATTTGCAGGTTCCCAGGTCCCCTGGCTTTGGCTGACTTCAAAATATACATCCCTTTCTTGCCAGTACATCCAAGTTTAATATTATCAGCAAAATGGTCCCTGTTTTTCCAATTATCTGCTGACGCGGTTCTAAGCTAAGTGAGGGGGAAGATCTGAGAGCCTGCTGTTTGTGGCTGTTGACGCATAGTCGTGATGTAACAGGTCCTGGGGCCTCACTTTACCCCATTTGTAAAATGGGGCTAATGTCACCTGCCTCTTACCTACCTCAGAGGGATTTGGTGAGGCAAACTGTTAATCTGTGAAGACGACCATTTCACGTCTTGGATATCAAGTGCTAACCCAGTATGCTCTTCTTTTTTACGTAAGGGACAGCTTTCTCCATGGAGTCCTTCTGCTGGTCAGGATAGCGTTTCTGAGCAGGGCTTTGTTCTCTATGTGCGTTAGGACTTTTATCATGCCCTCGTTCTATGTGTAGTTACTTGATAGCATCAGACACAGCCTCTTCCTAATGTCCTTCAAGTTTTCATGAACTAGCGACCCCACCTTCCACCACGGTTCTGGGCACCTGATTTTGCTGTGAACCCCAGACCCAGGCACTGTTTCTGCCACCCTGTAACAGGCCATTAACGCTCCCCAGTGTTCAGCCTCCTTCATTCCCTTGTTTTCCCTGTTGCTATGTGTCACCTGGGCCCTACAGCAGGGGCACATGCTTATGGATGTGTGTACCATTGAGATGAGAATGGGCAGATGGAATGGAGACCATCGAGCCACACCCCCTTCTTAAAATTGGGGACATGAGCCTGAGCAGAAGGGGTGAAGAAGAGCCATGGGACACAGAGTTGACCCAGCCAGGGGGAAAACCCAGCTCTCTTTAAACCAGCTAAGCCATTCCAGTCTCCTGTGAAGCCAGGAGGGACCAGGAACCATGCAGAGGAAACTGGAAACTTTTCTCCGCTGGGTAGAGCATGTTGCTGATACTCTTCTGTTTTCAAGGGAAACAATCACATTGTTTGATTCCAAATGGCAAATGAACACTCACTATTTTTCAGGCTTCAGTAAATCTTTTTTCTTCTTTCATATATATATATATACACACACACACACACACACACACACGTATATCTATACACACATATGTGTGTTATGTGTATGTGTTGTATATATGTGTATGTGTATATATAGTTTTAGCTCCAAGCCAAGCAAGTTTGTGTTTGGATAGAGGTGAACTTAACTATTAACTACAAGTTGAACGTCTTTGGTATCTTGATTTTCCCATTTCTAAAGATGAATTTCACAAAGCCATAAAGCGTGAAATTAGAGCTGGACTTAAGACTCACTGGCTGACCATCCTGTGTCGTGGCCTGGCCCTGCAGTAAGAAGCGTGTCTCAGTCTGGAGAAGGGTGCTTTCGAGGAGTGTGCAGGTGGCCGTTCCCCTTGGAGGCGAGAAGAGAGAATGTGCCTTGTATCGTCCTGGTTTTCAGTCCACAGAGTCGGTAGACCAAGGGTTACCTGACTGGGGAAAATCTCACATCTCCTTGTCCGAAAACATTTCCCCTGCTGTTCTCTTTCTAACATGTTGTCATAAATCTGTTCAGATACTGTTTATCTGACTGTTTTGTATGTGTGACAATTGCCTTAAAACATAGCACAGTCCTCAGAAATGAATACAGTGTTTCCACTGGAATCTGCAGTTCCTTTATTCCCTTCTCGTGTGTTGAAGCGGCACTTGCTGATGGAGGAGCTGTTGCTCTTCTAGGAGATGGGCTTTGGGTGACTAAAGGGATTTGTTTTCCTTGCTCCTTTCATCAGGCACGAGCCCCTGAGGCAGGGCAGGCATGCTCAGGGGGCAGCGCTACTGCTGGAGCTGCTGTCGCTGATCCTTCTGCGGCCACCAGATTGCAACTGGGAAGTGTCAAGCTGCTCAGGGGCTTCCCAGACCACACCAGCAGGGCTCTTGCAAAAAGTGTGTGGTTTTGCTATATACTTCCATAAAGTTATGTCTTGTCAGAACAACTAGGTCAACAAGCCTTAACTGAGCAACTGCCGTAAGGCAAGCATCAAGTAGGAACAACAGGAAGAATTTGCCCCAGGCCCTAGGATTCTGGGAAAGTCCTTGAAAGAGAGCAGTTGCCCATACCTCTACTATGGCACCACCACACCTAGCCCATGCTTCTATATAATCTTGTTTTCAATGACACCACATTCCAGCAACATTAGGGAATCTAGACACCTCTTATAATAGGATTATCCTGCAAACAGAGTGGAAGCCTCTGAAGAAACAGATCCCCTCTCTGACCTGAACATTTCCAGCTCTTCATATAATACAGGAACCAGTTTTCATTTCTGGGCAAGCCCCAAAGGATGAGGAGTTCACACCAATCAGGGGCCTGATGGGGCCTGTTAGGAGTAACAATTTGGATTCTTACCCTGAAATGTGGTTGCCTTGATTCTCTGTTGTGGAGAGTGTTTGGAGGTTGGGATTAGTACTTGGTGAGTCAGTTTTCTGATGTAACCAAACCAAGATGAGCAAATCTACACTCTCAAACCATCTCTTCCCTGGGGATCAGAAGGAGTGCTAATCTGATGAGCCACTTGAACCTGCTCACAGGAACTGTAAATCGTGTCTGAATAGCACAGACAATGTAGCAGGCAGGACCACAGGCTGTCTGGGTTCCACTCCCAGCTCTGCTGTTTGCTTGCTGCACGACCCTGGGCATGATAACCTCTCCATGCCACAGTCTCATATTTAAAATGGGGAGACCGAGTGCAGTGGCTCACACCTGTCATCCCAGCACTTTGGGAGGCCAAGGCAGGAGGATTGATTGAGGCCAAGAGTTTGAGACCAGCCTGGGAAGCAAAACAAGACCCTGTCACTATAAAAATTTTAAAAATTAGCTGCACGCCTATAGTCCCAGCTACTCCACAGGCTGGGGTAGGAGGATCACTTGAACCTGGAGGTCAAAGCTGCAGCAAGCCCATGATCATGCCACTGCAGTCTAGACTGGGTGACAGAGTGAGAGTCTGTTTCAAAAAATACATATTCTTTTTAAAAAGTATTTTCTTAAAAAAAGAAGAGCCTTAGCTGGGCACATTGGCTCACATCTATAATCCCAGCACTTTGGGAGGCCGAGGTGGGAGGCTCACTTGAGGTCAAGAGTTTGAGAGCAGCCTGGCCAACATGATTAAACCCCATCTTTACTAAAAATACAAAAATGTAGCCGGGTGGGGTGGTGCGTGCCTGTAATCCCAGCTACTTGGGAGGAGAATCGCTGGAACCCGGGAGGCAGAGGTCTCAAAAAAAAAAAAAAAAAAAAAAAAGCCTTTTACCCAAACATGTGTAACTGATGAAGTTCAACATTGTAAGTTAAAGTGTGGTCTGGATCTAGGAAACTGATTCTGTTTACATTGGCAGGGCTGCCTCAGCATGCAGTTCCACCACCATTCATCTATTCTGTGCGAATGGAGCTTGCAGGAGTTGTGCAGTAGGTAGCCTTCATGGCTATAATGTGACAGCCCTGAACTGTGCGGGTGAGTTGCAGTTAAAAGCTTTGACTCTCAACTCAAACATAAAGCATGTTGAATCTGTCTTCCCTATAAATTGTTTCCCTTTTAATAGTTATGGTCTAATCAGTTTCAAAGCAATAGGGCTGCAGTCTAGAGGAACTTCCTTAATCAGCTTCATTAGTCATGATTTTTCCATTTGTGGTGTTCCTCTAACAAAGCATCTGTGTTTGTGGCTACGCGCTTTGTAGTATTAATGAACCCTTTCTCTCTCTAGTCCTCAGAGCACCCTGGGTTGGCTAGCTGGATTGCTCACAGACCTTCCTCACCTCCAACCAAGCACCTTTAAGAGGACCAATCTCGTGACAAATGCATGGCCCTGAGATCTTGTGAGTGGTAGCCCACTCCATTCAGTCCTTCCAGAAACGCAGTACAACAATGGTCAGGCCTGAAAGAGCCCAGATGCCAAAAAGCACAGTGTTATAAACCCAACAAACTGATGTACAGGGGAGAAGTCAGTTTCGTAGTTTCCTTCAGGTGCGGGGAGAGGGGCCTGTGAAGTGCTAGGAATGCTCTATTTCTTGATCTGGATAGATGTTTGCTTTGTGATAATTCATTAGGTTATACACTTATGTGGTTTTTCTTTTTGGGGATGGAGTCTTGCTCTCTCACCCAGGCTGGTGTACAAAGGTGCCATCTCGGTTCAATGCAACCTCCACCTCTCGGGTTCAAGTAATTCTCCCTGCTCAGCCTCCCAAGGAGCTGGGATTACAGGCTTGCTCCACCACACTCGGCTAATTTTTTGTATTTTTTTAGTATAGATGGGGTTTCACCATGTTGGCCAGGGCTGGTCTTGAACTCTTAACCTCAAGTGATCTGCCTGCCTCGGCCTCCCAAAGTGCTAGGATTACAGGCCATTTATGTTTAATAAGTGTACGCTTTTACTTTTCACAAAGTGAGAAGAAAGCACCAGGGGTGTAGGAGGTGGGTGGTAATTAGGGCCCAATGGAAGACCCGGTAGCGGTTACCAGTCACTTTGGATGACCATGTTTTTTCTCAGCTGTCCTGTGACCCATCAGAAATCCCCTCAGCTAACTGCACCTTGGTCATCTAGAGCAATGGTCAGCAAACTATGGCTCACAGGCCAAAGCCAGCCCATTGCCTGTTTCTGTATGGCCCATGGGCAGTGCCCCAGCATATGAGCAGCATGAGCCACAGAGGCCAAGCCTGGGTGTTTCCCTCCACCCCTGTCAGGGCCGACTTGCCCATAAGGCACAGGACTCGCAGGGCCTGAGGCCCACAATGCTTTTAGAGGTCCACAAAATTTTCTTTATTATTATTATTATTATTATTATTATTATTTTTTGAAACAAGGTGTCGCTCTGTCGCCCAGGCTGGAGTGCAGTAGCATGATCACAGCTCACTGTAGCCTCCACCTTCTGGGCTTAAGCGATTGTCCCGCCTCAGCCTCCCAAAGTGCTGGGATTACAGGCGTGAGCCACTGCTCCACCCCCACAAAAATATTTTCATTTACTTTTAAATCAGAAAAATGTCCCCAGGATACTGGGATGACGTGAACAGGTGGCTTGACGCTCACAGCAGGGACACATGGATGATTTTCCTATTATCAATTTTTGGTCTGCAACAAAATGAGGTACTGAAACTCTGGCAAGTCTTTGCTGAGCCCTAGGATAAGCTGGGCTTGTAGGGCTCCCCAGGGGAGCAGCCCCCATTAGCAGAACCTACCCCCACCCCCCACGCCCCTACACACAGAGAAAGTGGGCATAGCAGGGCCTCTTCCTCAATAAAGTGCTAGCTGAGGAGACACTTGTCCAGGAATCCCTGATCTCACCCATTTCCACTTCACTAAAGCACACTGAAAAGCATTAGCCTGATACATACAAGATACCTGATGTATACATATCCATGGAGATTTAAGAAAGAAAGCAACCATCAACTGCTAAAATACTTCCCTGGAAGCTCGACCCTTCTATCAAAACCCAAATCCAGTCTGTCCCTAAGAGTGAGAGTCAAGGACAAGAGCACACCCACTTTTAGTAAATCTATGGCCTGCTGGGAACATGAGTCATTGCACCTGGGTACCCAGCACCACTTTATAAATATAGAAGATAGTATGAAGTGACAAATGGATGGAGAAGTTTAAAAATCTTTAGAGGACTGAATCGTTATCATTCCTTATTTCTAATGTTTTGTAGTGTTTTCCTTCAGACAAAATTCCCTGTGTTCCGCAGCAGGCCGCATGATGGGAACAGGACCATGAGAGAGTGAGCCAGCTGTGCTCCAGGGCTGACTCGGTAGTAGCTGTGTGTCCTTGGGCCGGCCACTTCCCCTTCCTGGCCTCATTTTCCTCATCTGTGAACTGCAGGGTTGGACTAGATGGTCCCTGAGTTCTAAGTCTTTTCTGCTCCACTGCCTATAGAACGTTAAGGAAAATTAAAAAGGAAGACTTTCCAAGAGGGACAGCAGAACAGGAATAACAGTCCACCATGGCATTTTTCTTGCCTGTGGTTCCCAACCTGGATGCATATTAGACTACTCTGGGAACCCTGAAAAATCCCATGCCCAGGCCATACCCCAAAGCAAATAATCAAAATTTCTGGGGGTGAGACCCAAGCACCAGTGTTTTCAAAGCTGCCCAGGGGTTTCAGCCAAGGCTGAGAACTGCCAGGTCAGCAGCAGTGTGGGCAGCCTAGGAATTCTGCATTTAACAAGCTCCTGGCAAATACTTGGGCATGTGGTGTTTGAGAATCACAGACCTAGTACCCTCAGCATCTGTGGGCACCCAGGTTCATGGTCTTTTCTGGAAAACTCCATTCTAGGTAATTCCCCAAAAGCCTCTAACTACAGTGGCCATGGATGACCTCATTTGAGGCGAAATCTGCTCTTGTTTATACCCTGTTGGCCAAGGAGGTGATATTTCCACAAACAAAACTGAAATGCAGGGCCAGGCATGGTGGCTGATGCCTGTAATCCCAGCACTTTGGGAGGCTGAGGCAGGTGGATCACCTGAGGTCAGAAGTTCAAGACCAGCCTGACCAACATAGTGAAACCCCGTCTCTACAAAAAACACAAAAATTAGCCGGGTGTGGTGTTGTGCACACCTATAGTCCCAGCTACTCAGGAGGCTGAGACAGGAGAATTGCTTGAACCCAGGAGGCGGAG